GTTTTTTCCAGCCGTACGTGAGTAATTAAGTCAAATGTGACTATCACATGTAAACGGAGTGCATACCTGTAACATGTTCCAAAGAGCGGCCGTGTTGTTCTGCTTCAGCAGGATTACCAACCATTTCACACTCTCATGCTCATGTGTTCCTCCCTAATGTTTAACATATAAAACCAGAGTCGCTCCTCTTCTTATGAATGTTGGGAGCACTGGTCTTTAATCTTCTGCTTCCTGCCTGCTCTTCATTCAGGTGGTCAGTGAATAAGGGGCGGGTTTAAAAATCGATTTTAGTTTGAATAAAGTGACATCGATTCATTAAATCCTGAATCGATTTTTAAATATAAATGTATTTTGTCAGAAATGCCAGAATCTCAGCTTAAAGCTCACAAAACTACGTCAACAACCAGCGAACAGCTAAAACAGGAAATGAGCGCCGGTAGTCCACGGAGTCCACAGCGTGGATCGTGGACACGTCGGGTGCTGAACGCAGACATCTCACAGATTCTGATGCTGCAGGTTGAGTAACTCCGACTAAAACTGACTGAACCAGCAGCAAAAGGAGATCCAAACTACACTTCATGTTTGATAAGCATCGTCATCTCTGACCTTTGCTGTTTTGCTTCCACCACGATAAAATCACACTTCCTGCACAGCTCTCTCTCTCTGTACTTCAAGAACAGTTTCCCGCCTCAGATCTGTTTCTGCATTACTCTCTGCTTATTAAGCATCAGCCTACTGTTGTCAAAGAAATGTAAACTTTTAAAAATTATACCAAATTACAAACTCTCAGCTGTGTCTCTGATCAAACTCTGTAACTTTGCTCCGCTTCTCTTCAGCAGCATCAGCTAATGTTCAGATGTTGATTGGTGGATTTATTATCTGCTATAAAAGCCCGGCCAGGAAAATCTCCTTCATGTTTTATCCTCAGTTCCTTTGACACAAAGACATCTGCTGTGATGTTCACACCTCTGAAGTCTCACAGCGTCAGCTTTGTTTGTATACACAGATACAAAAATGTGGACATGTACTGATAAATGATCAGAGTTATAATATTTCTGAATCGAATCGGGAGCTTGTGAATCAGAATTGGATCAGTGGTAGAAATCAGTGACGACGCCCAGCCCGACACTTAATCTTGTTCAATAATCAACTTTGATTCAAACTCTTCTTCTTTTTTGTACCTGAGCCACAGCACGTAGCTAAATACTGCCAGTACCACAGACGATCCACTCAGAATGATTCTCACTCACTAGCATATCCATGGTGGTGGGAACAGAGTTGGTGATGAGCAGGTTTCACGAACACAGCTGTTGGTTTACGTGTGCGTGCAGAGCGAGAACATTTCTGTGCACACGTTAATGAATGAGGCCCAGCACGTCCAGTTAGGGTTGTGCTGATGGACGCCGCGTCACAAATCATTGATGGTCAAAGTAAGCAGTGGTAGCTCGCCAGTCCAGACCATTTCAATTTCACTGCTCCTCTAATGCATTCTAGTTTTAATAATAATAATTATGACTATAACAACACTGTATTATAATGATGATGATAATTTCAATCTGCATTGGTACGGTTTCCTCCTGCCCAGACACACAAAACGTGTGTGTGTGTGTGTGTGTGTGTGTGTGTGTGTGTGTGTGTGTGTGTGTGTGGCACTGTTCTATCATCATCAAATAAAAGAAAGCAGAGGAATTTTGTGTGTGATGTACTTCAGTGCTCCACTGTAGTGTGACGGTGCATCTGCAGAGACACTTGTTTCCATTTTTGCCTCTTACCTGTAAAAGGCCAATGGAGTCATTGGCTGCTGGGCGGCCACTGAAATGATCCCATCGGTGTATCTAGTAGGAGTCTGAGGGCTAGCACTAGCTGCCAGTATGTATTTATTTTATCCCACTGGTGGTTTTTGTCCCAAAGCTATAAACACTGTGCCATGTGCACGTTGTGTGCTTTGTGGAGGGTGGATAACCTCCCCTGCTACATGGTGGGAATGTTGTCCACTGGTGATGTCAGAGGGGAACAAAAGGACCATGGGAGTATTGAGCAACCTCACCCCCAATTCATTGTTGACATTAACCCCTTAACTCGCCAGGATGTTCCCAACAGGTTCACTTACCTGCCACACACATGATAGCATACATTTAGGGGGGTAAGCAGACTCTGTGAGTGTGAGAATGCTAAGCCAATGAGGTTACAGACTATTATCAGTAATCTTGCAAACACCTCACTCTGGTGTGCACGTGTGTCAGGAAGTGTGAGGAAAAAATAGTGGGCGTGTGTCCTCTGTAGGAGAAACATGAATATGTCAGATTGGCGTGCGTGCGTGGGAGAGGGGGGCTCATTATGGTGGTCAGTCAGCTCTGTGCATCAGATTAGTGAAGAGAAAATAGGCCAACATCTGTCACCCTGACAAAAGCTCATCATCTGGTCTGCCACTCTTTGTTCCCCTGCTGTATTCTGTCATGTTGCCGTGTATGACAGTTAAAATGGAGATGGTCTTTTTATGATCCCAGTGTCTAATAACTAACAAAAAACAAAAACAAAAACGCCCCACGCAAGTTCAGGATCAGAAAGATCCAGATTTTAAAATCATGATTGTTACCATCCAGGATCACATAATTCATGTTGCTTTTGTTTTTCAAAGGCGTCCAGCACTGGACCACTCGCATCCAGAGTGGTTTATTCTTTATTGTTTGTTCATTTATTTCAAACATGTAAACAATATACAGGTACATGTAGTAAAGAAAATAAGAGAGAAAAAAATACTATACAAAAGTCAATACTTTTCAATATTGCTACTGTTCTGATTCATTTACATGCAGGGCTCGCAAACTTTCAAAACCCCTGGTAGCCCTTCGGGCAGGGACTCGTCAGTTTTAGCCCAAAATAAATGTAAGTAGCCCGAATAAAAAAGAGAGCAATTTTTTGATTGATGTTTTGTTTCTGTTACAATATTATACATTAAAGTATAATATTGTAACGGAAACAAAACATCAATCAAAAATAGTTTAAACACAAATTACAACATTGTATAAAAATTACAATCATCAACTCAAATACTTGGTTCTAATTGAACAGAAATTTCTATGAACTTGTAAGAACTGTGTAGGACATGAATCCGTCTGTGTCAGAGCCTCAATCTGACATTTCCACTGAAGTCACGGGTAAGAGGCAAGTGGAACCAAGATCGAGGCCATTTGCTTTTGAAGTTTGCACAGACTGCTGCATTGTGCCAGTGGTCGTTCACTCTTTGCAACATAGTAGCTGTTCTAAACAGATTTTCAGGTTTATTTTTAGTTTGTTATTTGCAATTGGTGTTTGTTCTGGGAAAGATATTGCAGACTGAGCAATAATGCATTTCTTGCATTTCTCATGGGTTCTAATGGGGGCCTTTCTTAACTCATTCACTGCCATTGACGTCTATAGCCGTCAATTGCAGTGTATGAGTCAATGGGTTTAACTCATTCACTGCCAATGGCTGGCAGTGAATGAGTTAAAATGACTGGTCCCAGTAACAAAGGCGCTTGTCAGTTCAGAAATCGAGAGAAAACCAACAACACACCTGGCAGAACATTATGTTATTTACACGGGTGCACATAAGTGGTCCGCATGTGCGCATTCGCTGTCAAAATAAAAGACGCGCACCAGATAAGAAGTTGCAGCGCACGTTTGCGTCCATATAAAAGGCTGTTTTTGTCCTAGAGTGGGATTTTCACGGCACATTCTGCACCACATCTCTGTGCGTTCATCATTTGTTTGAAGCCAGCTCACCTCCTGCAACCACTTTTCCGAGAATACGCGCTTCTTTTGTAGTTCGGACTCCTTCTGACATTTCTTTGGAGGTGGAGGAACATCACAGTAATTGCTTAAAGGAGCTTCTTCGACATCTTTAAGAGTTCTAAACAAATGTCTGTCCTCCTCCAGAAAATCTTATGTATGCAAACACGCGTTGCAACTTCTTATCTTGTGCGCGTTTTTTATTTTGACAGCGAATGCGCACCTGCGGACCACTTATGTGCAGCCCTGGTTATTTAGCTCGTCATATTGCAGCCACAGAAATTATTTTGTCCATGAAACCATAAAGCTGCACTTTCTTTTTGCCTTATAGTCTGATTTGTCATAACTTCTCCGTTTTGTGGTAAGCTTTTCTTTGGCTGTCACTTCTTCACCCTGACCTGTCTTATTTGGCTCAGCAGAACTAAAATATATATGCTGCTGCTTTTACACACACGCACCCACATAATGCTCAGCGATTCTCTGCGCAATCAACCTCTCACATGTTTAAGCTGCGGGAGATTTCACTTGTCATGTTTGCATAGTAAGCTAACGATTAATAAGACGATATCAGAGGAATTGGTGCACAAATTATCATCACTCACCAATCGTGCTGTCGCTCTCTATACACAGTTCACGCGATTGCAAAGTGAAAGCAAAAAACAAGTGCAAATTCAAACGCGATTTCAATATGTCACATATTGACAGTGGCTCACCGATGCCAATGACATAATTACCCAGCTACATTTCTGAAAGAATGCAAAAGCATTGACATATATTTTTCCTTCCTACGATAGGCCAACGGGCAGGGCAGAGATAGATTTTGGTAGCCCGACTGAAAAAATCGCGGGCTAGCGATTTTGCGAGCCCTGACATGTTGAAAGTGAGTGGGAAGAAGTAAACACTTATTTAATCCCACCCCTTTGTTATGAGTTATCAGTTAATATTTAGTCAGCTTCCTTACTGATATAATCTGTAATTAAAATAGTGAACATCTATCTATCGATCGATCCCTGCAGGAGCACACCAGGGTGCTGTTCTGATAGATCCAAGAATAGACAAATAGTGGAAGTTAGCAGAACAGCTCCTTTATAAACATTTTCCTTAGAAAACACATGGTGCTGCAGCTTTGCTACAAAGACCGCAGCCTCACGTTTAACGACACTCAGCTCTAACAGTTCTGTAATGCATTTGTTTGGACATCTCCAACGTGAGGCTTGGTCTTGTTTCAGGTGTCCGTGGCTTTCAGAGCGTTTCTCAGTGGCCATCCCCATCTACAATGGCATCATCTTCCTCTTTGTTTTGGCTAACTTCTGTATGGCCACATTCATGGACCCTGGCATCTTCCCCCGAGGTGAGTGCACGGATGGTTGAATGAATGCCTTTAATGCTGGGTGTCACCAAACAGGTAAGTTGTGTCGAACAGGCAGGACTTGGATGAAGTGATGGATTAAAGCTGCAGAGCGCAGCAGCACCTCAGTGAGGCGCGCTGCACAGGAAGCGTGCCGCGGCTCAGTCGTTGGGATGTCTCATTGTGGTGTGAGGTCTGTTCATACTATTGAGATAGATACAGTGGAGCTGTGAAGTTTAGCAGCAGGCATCATTTAAGGTCGCGTGTTCATTTTAATCCGATTCTCCTCATGTAAAGTAAGCTTTGACACGGTTTTTAGGTTTGATTAGTTGTTATCATTTAGATCATTATGGTGAACACAACAGCAGCTAACAGATAAAATAATGTAATTATTACGGAACATAAACATTATGAGTTTTGGATAACGTGTGTTGTTAGTTATACTAAACATTTTAAAACTGGCCTCACAGCTGGCTACAAAAACCGTTCGTGTTGTCCACATCTGCATGCGGTCGCCTCGCCCCGTCGTCCACGCTGCTGTTCTGGATTTGACTCTTTATTTGGTGGGATTAGCTCTCCACACTGTGGATTCTCTGCTAGGATCCCCACAGTTCAGAACTTCCGTCCACCCAGTTGTCCATGCGTTCAGTCACACGCTCTGCTTTTTTATTTAACTGCAGTCCTCTGTGTTTTTAGCTAGCTATCTCTGGCTCATGTCAGAGCAGCCTCTTATCAGAATGTGTGTTCCTAGGCAACCCAACACCAGTGAATTTACATTATATTTTACATTCATTTCTGTTTTGTTTTTTATTTCTTTTGATCTGAGTCTGAGGTGAAAAGTCTGACATGAAATATGAGATGATGAGGTTTCAGTGTAGTCACAGGATTGTTAAAATACCGAGGGGTCAGAGGGCCCTTGTTTGACTGACACGGAGAGGCGACCCGTGACCCTTTCCACACGACTGGCTTGTTTGAAACTGTAAAAAACAGTTGCTATGAAAGAGTAAATAGTTTCTACAGACTGAAACCTTCTTTGTAGTCCATCATTTGAACGTGGACGCCTACGGTCAAACTCGGGTGGACTGAGTGGGCAGCTGCGAGCTTTGGCACTTTCACTGTCTCACTTTTGACCAATAGATCGTCAGTTTTAGGATTGTGTGTGTTCTCTGTGCAGCCGAGGAGGACGAGGACAAAGAAGACGATTTCCGCGCTCCACTGTACAAGACGGTGGAGATCAGAGGGATCCAGGTCAGGATGAAGTGGTGTTCAACCTGCCGCTTCTACAGGCCGCCACGCTGCTCCCACTGTTCTGTCTGTGACAACTGTGTTGAGGTGTGTTTGACTTTTTACATTTACTCATTTATTCTTCATATGAACAGTCTGAATGTTGCACGCTGAGTAAGCCTGCACTATAAACAGCCCAGTTTGATCTGAAACAGTCTGAATCATTGTATGCGTCTGTGGTTAGTGAGCCGTGTCCACAACACACGTGCTCTGTGATTTTCACACTTTCAAACCCTCGCCCGGCTGGTTTTGGCATGTGGTTATCATCATTGTTATAAATCTTTAGATGTGTTTAGAAGATGTAACTCAAGGACATGTCTTTGCTCTGCAGCTGTCCTGTTAATGTATGATGGAAGGAGGAGTGTCAGTGTTGATGGGTGCAAACGAGTTGGACAGCCTGTAGTCGTCCTTTGAATAACACGGTACTCCAGCTCAAGCACGACCTGTAACAGGAGTTTACTGCAGTTTTGGACCTGAAAATGTTTCAGTATCTACTCCTTACTTACACTCCTTCCACTGGGCACGTGTGTAGCCAAACTGTAGCTGATGCTAAGCCAGTGAAAATGGTCTTGATGGGCCTCTCAGGCTACATACGTGTTTGCTAATGGTTTCCACAGAATGGCTGCCTCGTGTCCATCATCAGGCAAGACAGCAGTGACGCACCTCTATCTGTTCGCTGTCTCAGAGACATGACTCTAAACTCAGTGCACAATCTTAAATGGCCTGATATGTTCACACTGCAGCCTTCTACTGCAGAGGACAAGCTGAAGATGATGATGGCACCTCTCGTGCCGATTGCAGTTTAAATATTTAGAGGTGTCATTGCAGGTGTGTCAACATGACGTTTGAGCCGAGTTTAAGTTCTTAAGTAACTGTGTGTGGAACAGAACCTGACGATGAATAGGCTTTAAAAGCCAGGAAACATTATTTGGGCACACCGGTGTGATGTGCTGACTACCTAAATCCACCGATCGACTCCTCCCTGAGCGTCAGCTACATGTTTTTCCCCCATTGGCAGAGAGCTGCAGTGAAACATGCAGCTAGCAGCGTTCCACGTTAAGCCAGCACTCACTGTCTCTTTCTCCAGTTACAGTGACAAACAGGAGAAAATCACACTGTCCTTAATCCAGTAAAGAACTGGTTGCCAGGCCAAAATCAAATATGGCTGACCTTGGGATTGTGTGCTCTGTGCAATATGTCTGTGAAGGTTCTCAGTCATCCAGCTCATCACAGTCTAAGGTCTGTGGGGGTAACTCACCAAGAGGGAAACTCAATTTTCAAGGATGCCAATGTTCACATTTTGGACAGATGGTTTGAAAGAGGAGTGAAAGAAGCATCTATGTCCACTGTGAGCGACCATCTTTGAACAGAGGCGGGGCTTACGACACCAACTCTCTGCCATCTATAATCCAGTTTTGAGATCCTTCCCAGACGCCTTAACGCCCACTCACATCCTGGGCCATCTGACCTCAGGAAATCACATGATAGGGTGGGGCCAGGTTTCACAATGACCTCATCCGAAACCCTGGCTGATTGTGACCTACACCTGCTTTCACACCTTAGCTCGTGTGATTAGGTAGAGGATCATCAGGGGGTCCTTTTGTCCCTCTGTGGGGGGAAACTCCCACAGGGTTTAAATCTGGGACTCTCCACCATTTGACCCTCGAACTGAAGAAGCTTCTCGGATGAGAGGTGAAACGTCTTCAAGCAACTTAAAGAAGTCCAGACGCTTTTCTTTGCAAGCTCCTTAGTAGGGATGGGTATCGTTTAGGTTTTATCCGCTGCCAAACCGGTACTTTTGAAACGGTGCCGGTGCTCAAACTGGTGCTTAAAGAATGGAGAGCACAAACTTTGTCCAAAAAGCTCTCGTGTTTTTATTTTTAGCAGTCTCTTTTTTTCTGCAAAATGATAAGCACGGTCCAGCCCCATGCACGGGCGATCCGCGCTAACTCGCTAAGGGAGATTTACCACACCCACAGTAGATGTGCTCTTTTAAAGAAACGCTATGCGTCGCCAGGTGTTTCATCAGATTCGAGGTGTTGCCTCCTTTGACAGTATCACAGTATCAGCTTAAAGCACTTGTTGCTGCTGAGTTTGCATCTTTTGCTGTGAAGTACAGCCAGACTTTGACCGCTTCACCTTGGGCGTTTTTAATCTGTAGCTCTGCTCTAAAAGAACGTACGTACCTGGGCCCGCCTACTACGCTTGCAGAGGTAAAATGATTGGCTGGAATCCAAAGTGTGTGACATCTCAGGGGAAATAAAGCAGCGAAATGTGCGCTGCTTTTCGGTCTGGTTACTACCGTTTATGTCAGAACCATAATGGCACCGGATACCGGTACCCATCCCTACTCCTTAGTGCTCTGTGTGAGTGTGCATGTGTAACCCAGGAAGTGGCATGCTGCCAACAGACAGTCAGTCGTTTACAGGGTTTCCATGATAGAGCACTGGCAGTCTGTCCCAGGCTCTGTTCTGCATTTGTCTGAATCTATTTGAATGTTCCAGGTTCAAAGGTAATCTGCGTTGCTCATCTGCAGCAGTCCAGGTGTTGGATCCGTGTTTGTATCAGCAGATGACCAAAGATCTCTGATCTCAGGACTAAACAGTTGTTGATATTGTGACCTTCCTCTGAACATGCAGTTGTACAATATTTCAAGCCTCTTCTCTTGGATCACATGGGAGAGTTGTAATCAGAGTATTCTGGTGAAAGTATGTCACATTCCCAACCTGCAGATGACAGTTCTGTGTATCTGTTGAGGACTTAATGAGGTTAGACAGGAAAGGTGGTGCATGGAAATAATGCTTCTTAATGGCTGCATTCCTATTTCAGCCTCCTCTGACGGTGTCTTAAATGTCCCCCTGACTCTGCAGGACTTCGACCATCATTGTCCGTGGGTGAACAACTGCATCGGCAGGAGAAACTACCGCTACTTCTTTCTCTTCCTGCTGTCTCTGACAGCCCACATCATGGCTGTGTTTGGCTTTGGGCTGCTCTTCATCCTCTACCATCGGCAGAACATTGACCGCCTGCACGCCATTGTCACGTATCCTTTCATGTCCCGTGGATCTGGTACTCTCATCTGGTTTTACATTGCTGAGTTACTGTCAGGTTGTTTAAATGAGGCACTTTTTTTTTTTTTTTTTTTTTTTTTTTTTTCCCCCACTGTGGCGTGGGAAGATTTCACGTAGCTTCCTGAGAAAAGATGGTCCAACCCCACCCAATCTGATCTTTGAATGAGAATGAAAACACACGATATAAACGCACGAATCTGCATAAACTGGCCTAGGACAGGAGTACATTCTGGCTTTGCTCGCCCCACACACACCACATGTTGTTTTGTCCATCACTGCTCTCCATAGGCCTTGATCTGTTGAATGTAATGTTTAAGATGCTAAGGTCCTTGACCCCCCACCCGTGCGCTCAGGCTCGCAGTAATGTGTGTCGCAGGCCTGTTCTTCATCCCTGTCGCTGGCCTCACTGGCTTCCACATAGTCCTTGTGGCTAGAGGCAGGACGACCAACGAACAAGTAAGTAGAAGTCAGTGTTGCACACATGTACACCAGGAACCCAGGAGTTAGCTCATTCAGTTCAGGTCAGTCTTATTTATATAGTGCCAATTTGTAACAACGGTTGTTTAAAGACACTTTATATTAGGTAGAGATCACAGACAGAGAACCCCAAATATCAGACAACCCCACGGTGACAGTGGCAAGGAAAAACGTCCTCTTTGGCCCTTCCACTGTGCACTGTGGCATAGGGAAGGATGTTTGTTTTCCTGGCAGAGAGACGGTGGTTATCCTTCAAACGGTCCTCACGTCCTACTGAGTGCATTAATTTGAAAGTGGATACAGGTTAACAGCCATTTAACCCCTCCCCCCACCCCCCTCCCCGCATTGTTATATTCTCCATGTAAGTTTTTGTGACGTGTCTGTCTCCAGGTAACGGGGAAGTTCAGAGGAGGTGTTAACCCTTTCACCAATGGCTGTTGGAAGAATGTCTCTCATGTCCTCTGCAGCTCACAGGCACCCAGGTCCGTTCTTTGTTTCCCCTTTTTATTGGACTCTCTTGTCGAGTGTCGAGAGCATTACCCTGTAGCTCATCACACTTCCTGTTTTTAAAATGAATTTGTTAAAACTGGCCACTGAATAGTGTAATAACAGAAACAGCTGGTGAGAAACTAAACAATCTGTGAGCTGTTGCTTTGGTGTTAGTGTTGAAAGTGATCAGATGTAGGATTAAGAGGAATTTGGATTTGATACCAATCATTAGCACTGTACTGATGTGAATGCTCTCTGCAGGTATCTGGGCAGGAGAAAGTGTGCACAGAGTGTGAGTCTGCAGCCTCCTTTTCTTCGGCCACAGCTGACAGAGGCCCAGCTGGCTGCAAAGATACTGGACAATGGCATACAGGGAGATCTGCACAGGGTAAGAGGTGCAGCAAAGGTGCTCGTGAAGCTAACGTGCCACAAACTGTGCTGTGCTGGCTGCTTCAGCCTGCCGGTAATAAACAAGGGTTATGCAAGGGAGCTGTGCTTCTCATTCAAATCTGCACTTGATAAGTTTGCATATAGGCAGGTCCAGATGGCAGCGAGAGCTCTAAAAGCTGTTTGAAATTCAACAGGCAGAAATCCTGTAAGGTCACAGCAGTAAAAACCCAACCACATCCATCAGGCTGCGTGCTGCAGAGCTAAGGATGCAAAAACGGGGTTGTTTGCTGCACCTTTTTCTTGGTGTTGTTTGTATTTTATCTTGTTTCTGTTTAGTTTTGTTTTTGTGTTGCTGTAAGAAACTGCTAAAGACCTGCAAGTATTGTACTTGTTAGGAAATGGATGGAATAATTTGTTCTAGTCGCAGGTGGATGATTGATTTTGTAATCGTACGTAAACGTATATCAGAGCTGTGGCCATGGCTTGGACGCAGAAACGCTGTCACTGCTGACAGACCTGGGAGACCAAAACTGAGGATGTCTGACAGACGCCCCAGTCAGCAAGATCTTCAACTTACACCTCAGGCAGAGGTTCTCCTCAGGGAGACACGGAGTCCGAGTGGACCATGCTCCACACCTCTTGCTTAGGCTACTGAAAGGAATGGGGCCTGCACGATCCTCGGTGCTTCTCGTGGCGGCAGTGCCAGAACCAGATGGTGAATACTGGAGGTGAAGTGAGCCGTCAGGCTGAAGGAGGAATCTTATTGGGAGTCCACAGGCAGCTGACAGGTACTGGCAGGCCAAGTGGAGTGTGGCTCTAGCCATTCAACATTGTCACAGACCCTTTCATAGTTTTTATAGAGTGTCTGGGCATAGTCAAGCGGTCTCCACAGTGTTGGCTGCAAGATTTTATCTTTGCTTCTTGCGGAGGATGAGGTTCCTTTGGCCTCCTTTGACCTCCAGTTTGCACTGGAGTCGTTTGTTGCTGAGTGTAAAGTGGAGGGAATGACAGCAGGAACCTCCAAGTCCAAGACCATGGTTCTCAGCCACTAAAGACTGGAGCGCCCACTCCAGGTCAGGGATGAGTTACTGCCCCAGGTGGAGGAGTTCAAGTATCTCGAGGGGAGAGTGCATGCAAGGTTTACAGACAGATTGGGGCGGTGTCTTCAGTGATGGAGATGCTGTACCAATCTGTTGTGGTGAAGCGAGAGATGAGCATGAAAGGGAAGCTGTCAATTTAGCACAGCCTCTGTTTAGTGACCGAAAGAATGAGGTTGTGGATCAGAGTGTCAGGAATTAGTTTCCCTTCAAGGCTACGTCCACACGTGCCCGGCGTAAACAGCATTTTCGGTCACGGAAAACGGAGATTTCTAAAAACTCCGGCCAGGGTGGATATTTTCTAAAACTCAGTTTTTGCGTTTACGTGTGGACGAGAAAAACGGAGAAAACGCAGCGTCAAAGGTGTGCGCCTTTTGTGACGTCACACTGTGCGCCACGTTATTGTTTCGGTGAAATGAATTTCTACACTACTGTTACTTTATTCAGTGTTTAAATGCTTACATATACACACAGTTACTGTCCCTCCACACATACGACTCGGTTCTGCTTCTATGCCCCAGCTTTGTTTACTTTTTCCCACCGAGGCTTCTAGACTTCTGATTGGCCAACATTTCTACACGGTTAGGAATCTAGCGCCACCTGCTGCTTTGGCATGTTCCTAGCAGCGTTTTCCTTCATTTCTGCCTTTATGTGTGGACGGGATTATTTTTTAAGATGAAAACGGAAAATCGCCGTTTTCAAAAATACCCGTGTACGTGTGGACGTAGCCTGAGAGTCGCTGCTCCTCTACATGGAAAGGAGCCAGCTGAGGTTATTCGGACTTCTGACTAGGATGCCTCCTGGGTGAGGTATTCCAGGCATGTCCTACTAAGAGGAGGCCTTGCTGTAGAGAATATATCACTTGGCTGGCTTGGAAACATCTCAGTGTCCTCCTGGATGAGCTAGAGGAGGTGGCTGGTGAGGGAAGGCTGAGTTTCTCTGCTGCTGTTGCCCCGTGACCCAAACCCGGATAAGCAGCAGGAGATGGATGAATAATTTGTTCTTTCACACAGTCTTTGACCTTTGGCTCTGCCTGTGTTACAGTCAGGAACATTTTCATTTAAGTTGCACATGGACAAAGTTTACATAAAGTTTCTTACAGCCTCACACCTACAGATGGGTACTGATAAGATTTTCACGATTCCGACTCATCATGGTCACTAAATGCACAGTAATGGCAGGTTTGTAATAAGGCAGATCGCGCTAACATAATATGCACTGTTAGTTGATTATTTACCTGCCGCATTAACGGGAGAGGACGTGCAAACGTTACCGCTGCTGCTGGGTTGAGATTCACGAGTCCAGAATTAAAAACACGACATTCATTTAAGGTCATCGCGTGTTTTGTGAGCAAATGCTTTTGCATATTCGTAGTGTTTCCTCCCTTACATGAAATATCTGCTTTGCAAGTACTGCAAGTTGCCCTGTTGTCATCCGTTCTCGTGAAGTATAACCAAACTTTTGAGCGTTTGAGCCGCCATGTTTCCTGCCAGGTAAATGACGCTCCGCAACGTGGTGACGTCATTCGGGGCGACTGGAGTCGATAAGGGAATCGTTTGCAAAAATGGCAAACAATCCCAAGGAATTGAAACAGTGGGAACCGGTTCTCAACAAGAACCGGGTTTCGATGCCCATCCCTACTCACACCACCCAGCAAAAGTCCATCTGGGTGTGACCCCAGGCTTCTTTCTACTTTTCTGTTCGGATTTGGTCACAGAATGTCTGTATTTCACCAACAGATGGGTAATTCTGTCACTTTCTGTCTCTAATGCTCGCATTTCTTCTTTCCAGTCAAAGTCCAGTCTGGAAATGATGGAGAGCCAGTCCTGTGACGCTGAGCCACCACCACCTCCTAAACCAGAGCTCCGCTACCCAGGAATTACCAGAGGAAACACAGAGGGTGATTGGCTCTTACTCTGTCTGCTGCAGTTTGTCTGCTTCCTGTTCAACATATAGTTTCATACAAAGGTTTGAGAACCCACACTCAAAGGACTTAATATTTATCCTCATCGGGAGGCTTGTGGTTAGCACTGGTGCCTCACACCACGAGGGTCCTGGGTTCGAATCCCTGTGGCTGCGTGGATACACTGTCATAGAGGAGATTACGTTAATTGGTGATTTTGGATGTGGAGGTGAGTGGCTGTCTGTCTGTGTTGACAGCTGGGATGGGCTCCAGTATCCCCAGCTCCCTGCCAGTACTGTGAACATTTAGAGTCCCACAAGCAGCAGAGGGTTGCTTGTGGGATACTATGTCTTACTTCATAGTATCATTAAAAACAGCAGCTGTGTTGCACTAATATGATGAAATCTCTAAATTCATCGTCAGAGGTTTGAGCTTTGAAACGAGCGCTGGTGACAGCGTCTCTGTAAATGAACAGAAGGTTAAAAACGAGGAGAAGGATCCTAAACGCACCTCACGAAGACCTCACACACCTCTGATCCAAGAATATTGGACAATGTTTCAAAGCAGCGCATGCAGGACACCCCAAGACCTTTTGCAGAAGGACGGACTAAAGTCTCACAAAACCTGAAGGGCTGTTAGCTGTCAGAAGAAGCGGTGCTAGTATCATCATGCAGGGTGTCCAAACATAAAACTCTGCATTCACTATAGCTCTTCTATGCTAATGGTGCTCAGTGCACATGAAGGAGATTCTGTGCTCATCTTGTTTCTCTTTCCACCCTCCAGAGTGCAGTTTGCTGAACAAGGCCCCTCCCACTCCCACTATGTACAAATACAGGCCCACGTACAGCCCTGGCAAGAACCACACGGCGCTCACACATGCTTACGCCAACCAGGTAACGCACGCAGAATGCAAGAGTGTGTGCTACGTGTCAGGTTGGACCTCCACTCGTCCCTGCTTCTGCTTCTTTGATAATTTTTTAATCTAACATCTCCATTTCTGTTTTGGTTTTTCTTTTTCTTTCTCCTTTTGATTTCCTGTCGGCCATCTTGGTTTGGTTTCTCAGTGGCTTTCTGTTGATCAGTAAGTGATTGTGCTGAAAGCAGTTTCCTCCTCTTATCTTCCTTTTAACTTGTTTCCTGTCTCCTTCTGTTTGCACTGGACGTGGCTGAAATACTGTAATGAAACCACTGAAAACAGACTTCACGACTCCGTCTCAGCAGCGTTCTTTGAACACAGTGAGATATGAACGTGAAGCAATCAGGACTGCCATAAATACACTGGTTCTGCTCAGTATTTGTGCCCCTGTCTGGTCCATATCACTCCTCAGTTTCTTTGTTAGTTCTTCCTGGTTAGATTTGTGCCTTGTAGCCCTTTTCCATTGCCTGGGGTCCCAAGTGATCTGAAAATGTGATGTCAGCAGACCGCATGCCAACGATTGGCCAGTCGGGACATCACTCGACACGTCATGAGAGAAACTGCCACCATTTTTAAAGCACAGCAGTGGGGAAATGCAGAGTGTGACACACATTGAGCCTTGACGTGTTCCTTTGTCGTGGTGTTCATGTCGCATACAAATGTCATCACAAGATCTGTGGCTACACCGACCCCCCCGCGCGTTGGGTGGCAGTCGTAATAGTTTGAGTCACATCGACATGATCCAAGTAGGTACTAATGGAAAAGGGCTTTGAGTGACTGTGGCTGTAGCTCTGTACGATTCCTCTTTAGTGTTTAAGCATCAGTGTCAATACAGCGAACGCCATCATTTCACCATCTCAGACATTCTGACTGACATGTTACTGAAACAGGCAGAGCGCAGGAAGCTCCAAATACAGCGCACAATAGCAGGATCCAGAGAGTCTGAACACTGGCATGGTTATAATGAACATTATGATGATGGAGCTGCCGAGTTCATCTGGACAGTCAGGGTTGTACAAAGAGCAGTTTGGTAAATGTGCTGGTTCTTTTAATGCTTTTTCACTCGATTCGAGCACTTGGAGCACTCTCTTAGCCTAACGTGCACACACACACTCTGATGGATACACTGAGATACTTGTGAAAGCACAGGCCAACCACCGGCCTTCTGCTCAGATGACCCACCCCTGACTAATCACCGTTGGTTAGGGGTGGCTGTTGTGTCAGGCTGTCACCGCTAGAGTGCAGGATGACTTTAATCTTCCCTCATGTGCTGAGCTTCTTCTTGTTTCTTTTTCCTCCCTCCGCCTCCCTTCACCTTCCCTCTTCTCTCTCCTCTTCCCTCTGGCTCCTCCAGCTAAGTCGAGGGGAGAGCGTCGGCAGTGCCAGGGACTCTTCCTCCTCCACCTCTTCCCTCCTCCAGGCCAGCCAGCAGCCTGGTTTCCGCTCGCAGCCCAGCCTGGATCGGAGGGAAACGTCGTCTGAAAGAGTGGGAGGGGGAGGAGGAGGGGAGAGGAGGGAGGTGGGGCGAGAGGGAGGAGGAGGAGGAGGCGGCATTCCTGGCTATTCTCTGGGCGGGCGCTCCTACCCCTCCTTCTCTGACCCCACCGTCCTGTCTGCAGTGGCGTCGCGATCTTCCAGCTCCACGCACACCTCGGCGGGCACCGTCCACGTCTCAGAGGCCACCACCACCTCCGCCAGCTTCAAGAGCTTAGCCAATCAGACACCCCCGCCCCACCACCCGTCTCGCAACGGGAGCCTGTCTTACGACAGCTTGCTAGCAGGCGGCGATGAGTTTGACAAAGCAGTGGGCGTGAGCTCGGTGGCCCCCGACGTCTCCGGTGGGAGACCCTGCACGCCAGCGGCGGGTGGTGGCTACAGCTCCCCCTTCCTGTCGTCACAGCAGAGAGAGGCTGAGATGCAGTCCCAGTCCACCCAGTCACCCCACCACCACCACCGTTCCTCTCACCACCACCACCCCTTCCTCCATCACTCCTCATCCTCCACGTCTTCCTCCCCACCGCCTCCACCAGAGAGGGAGCGCCTGCTGGGCGAGCCCCACCTACCTGCAGCGCCTGCCGGTCAAACCTCTGCTCCACCGCCCCCACACCACCACCACCACCATCACCATCACCACCACCACTCCCACCACCACCATCATCACTCCTCGTCCTCTTCCTCCACCTCTCGTCCTCCACGCTTTGCTGCCCCTCACGCAGGGCCCCACCACGCCTACCCCTATCGCACCCGTTCGACCGACACGCCTCTGGGCTCCTCCTCCACCACGCATCCTCCCCGCTCCCCACACCCCCCACCTCTGGGCAAGTCGCTCTCCTATTCAAGTGCAGCCGCCGCCGAAATGCAGTACCGGCTGGTCCGCAAGGCCTCGGCGTCGGCCGGAGCAAACGCAGCGGGGGTAGGAGGAGGTGGAGGCGGAGGGATGGGAGGAGGAGGAATCCAAGTGCCGAAGTGAGTATGAGTTTGAGCTTTTGTCGGGACGATTGGTTTGACACTGAAAAAGCGCCTGCTCGCCTGAAACCTGACTACCTGATTGACTGCTCCTCCTGCTCCTGCTCCTCCTCTTCCCTTCTCTCCTCCTCATCCTGCCAGACTTCCTGTGAGTTTCTCATTCTTCTCCCTTTGCTCGTCTTCCATCCATCTGTTGTGCGTTGTTTGTTGTCTTGTGCGTTATTGCTACTGTCTGTTTGGTCACCATGATTTGACGTGCAGTGATGATGACTTTAATCAAACTGAGGAGCCCAGTGTTTGTGGGAGAAGCTTTTTACTGCTCCTCGGTTTAACCGCACAGGAAGTGAAATCTGAAGGAAGCGTGAGTAGCAGCACAGTTTTGCTGTTAAACTGAGGCTCAGTCTGACCGCTGCATGACGGCGTTTTCAGTTTGTCTGTCCCGTCTCTCATTCCTGTTCTTTTCCGTCCTGCTCGCTGTGTTGTGTACACGTACTCCACCCCTGTGTACTGCCAAGGTGTTTCTGTAGCTACGATTATTAAAGGGAAGTGAAAAGCATGATTCACCGTCCACAAACTACTGACCTCTGTGTACTAAAGCTAGCTTTGGTAGCCCTGGTTTGGGTTGACCTGATGTGAACTATAGCATCGACATGGCTGAGGGTAGCACCGCCCACCGCCAGTATTTTCATACACAGGACCAATCAGCGTAAACACTTTTTATTGTCACCATCGGTAACACAACAGCCCAACTGTGTGTCCATGTTCCCTCTGGAACTACGCACGCCGTAACTACGTCCACTCTGACTCGCCAAATTCTTTCTCACCGATCAAAGCGATCCAGTCATTCCTTCATCTCCAGTGTTCAACATGAAATGTGTTCAGGTCTAAATGTAGTAAATGGTGACATCCATCCAAATGTAGCCGCGCTTCAGTGATGAAATTAGCAGCAGAGCTAACATGGCTAACACGGTGCAGCCCGCAGTTTTCAGTAAAATTGTTCTTTTCTGTCTTTTCCTAAAATCAGGGATGAGCTGATGCAGATGAAATCTCTGAGTCGGATTAATGGAGGTCAGCCCTTCTCCTCGACTTCCACCTCCTCCTGCTCCGCCCCTTCCTCTCCCTGTCACCCAGTCAACACGTCCGCTCCGGCCAGAGCAGCCTGTCCCAGCCCAGCACTGATGCTGAGTCCTGCCCACAAGCCCCAAGGCAGCGGGGTGAAGAAGGTGACTGGTGTCGGGGGCACCACCTATGAGATTTCAGTCTGACTGGCAGTCGGCCTCCAGCTCCAGGACCAGTGGGACAAAGTGGACGTAGCACTACGTCTTTATGCCCGCTAAGGAACAAATTCAGATTTTACCAAAAAAAACAGCTTCCTGCTGTGGACCTGGACCTTACTTCTCATTGGCTGTGTGACTGAGCAGCCCCTCCAATAGAAACCTGGTCTAAAGTGAGGCAGAATCCCAGGCGCTGCGCTAGAAAAGACTAGTTCTTGGTCCAAACAGACCCCACGGTGCTCACTTCTGCTTAGGTCTGTGTGGCATTGTACAAGCATAGCAGCGAAAAGGCGTTAGCACTGCCAGGGATGGGGGCTGGATCCCCGGGGGTCCACTCTGGAACAGGTCTGGACTCGAGCTGAGTTTACCTGATGTTGGTTGTCTCCCTCTTTTTTTTAGACCTCATCATTTTCACACTTGTATCTAGATCATGAAACTGTGGAACCCAGAGGGCTCCCCCAGGACAGGTGATGAGTCACACCAGGGGGAGTGCAGGTAAAGCGTGCTTTTACCAGCAGCATCCACCTGATGGAGCAGTCAGGTGGCACTGGACCACAGGTGTGTGTGTGCGTGTAATCCTGAAACCAGTCAAAGGGAGCTGTTAGCGGCTCTGTACCTTTCTGCTTCGATGATGATGAACTCTGAGTTCGTTCCTGATGGAGGAAAGAACAGTGTAAGATTTGAAGGGGAGGGGCACGAGCAGACTTCTTTGCTTCATTTGTCCATTTATTCCTAGATGTGAACATGATTCCATGTTTGTACAGGATGTGTTTTTAAATGTGGTTTCCTGTTTTTTAAAAAAATAAAAAGTGGACTGCAGCATGCACTACTCCAACCCTGTAGGCCGCCATGTCTGGCTGCAGACGCACAGGTCATTCCATCTGAAAGCATCACATTTGATTGGCTTAAAAATGGTTTAAAATGGGACACGTGTACTGATTGTAAATGCAATCTGCAAATAATCATGTGGATATTTCATTTAAAGCAAAGGCCCATCCGTTCACTTTCAGATGTGTTTGAATGTAACTCTAAAGAAAACAGTCTGACCACGAAACTGAATCAGGATCAGTCTTTACCTTCAGGTACTGCATAAATAAACTGGGCTGAGCTGAAACACCAGGAAGCTCTCAGTGGTGGGCTAGTTGGAAAAACTGCAGAAGACAAGTGACAGTGTGTGTGTGTGTGTGTGTGAGAGTGTGTGTGTGTGTGTGTGTGTGAGTATGTGTGTGTGTGTGTGAGTGTGAGTGTGTGTGTGTGTGTGGTGATTTCAGATGGAACGACCACTCGTTGTGTTGTCTGAACAAACTAAAGTGAATCTGGAAACTGTTTCAACCTCTCGTTGTTAAAGATGGAGCAGGATTTTGTGGAACATGAGCGAATGCCTTGAAAATGCAAGTGTTGTCCTTTTTTTATTTCACCTATTTAAATTGACATTGTTTTATATGAATTTCTATGGAAATCTAGCTATTGATAAATATTGCAGAGTTTTTAATATTGACCCAGAAGAGGTTGTGTTTGCCATTGTGTCAGTTTGAGCCTCTGGATAAAACCATTAAAGCAGCACCTCCCATTGCTTCAGGCTGATGCTTCACAAACATGTTCCAGTTCTCGCGGCAGCACGACTCTCTGAGATGACAAAGTACACACATTCTGTACTCGAGTAGAACAGTCGTGCAGATACTCCAGTAGAAGTTGAAGTACTGACTCAGCGTCTTTGGTCGAGTACCAGTGAAATGTACTCGCAGTAAGAAAGTAACTGCTTGAAGGACGATTCTGCTGTTTTAATGCACAGATGAGTGGACCTGCTGCTATATTATCATAATAAAGTAATATTAGTCAAATTTAAATTCTGATTCTAATGAATGCACTCAGCTTGAATCTGTTGTTTGGGACACAAGCAGTAAATAATGAAACAGAAACATATTTGTTTCTGGTGACGTAAACATTCAAATGAGTGCAGTCAGGGGTTAAAGTGAGACCCAGGAGGTGCTCGGGGGATACCTCACAATAACCTCTGTTGAGAGCTCCAGTACATTTTCTTAGTGGTCAAGCTGTGATCAGCTGACCTGCGGCTCGTTGTGGATTTGCATAACCAGATGTGAGCAGATGTGTCCCAGCTATCCTGGCTGATGCCCATCCACTACACTGTTTACAGTATACAGTGAGTTTAAAGTCTTAACTCATCTTAAATGCAGGTTCACATCTGCTACACTCGCTGTAACCTAACACTAACCAGTACACTGTCTCAGGCCAACACAGGGCTTTACTGGGAATTCACCAGTTTAATGCACAAAACTCCCTTAAATGTTTATAAAGATTTGAATAACACTTAGTTTTTCAAAACATTTCAGAATATAAAAACACAGTTTATCAAGACCGATCATAAACAGATGAAATATGTGATTATTGCATTAAATGTAACCTCTACATCTGTTTTGTCACTGAATGTGTTGCTAGCTAAAGCTCCAGCTGATGAATTTCCAGGGAGAGAAAAGAGTGCACGCTAACTTCATTTACAAAGATGTAAGAAAGGATTAGCACTGCTCAGTAACTGGATAAACTGCATCTGTTTCTCTGTTGGTCCCGCCCACTTTACCCCTGAGCATAAAGGCTGTAAGGATGCTGCTGAAGCTAAGTGACGAGCCTGTTTTAAAAATGTAAGGAGTACAAAGATATTTGACTTAAAAACAGGAACTAAGCTTTTGTACTTGAGTACTTAAGATCCAGGAACCTCTGGTTTCCTGGATCCACCAGCTGTGTTTTCATCATGCACACTCTGTTGTAATTAAGTACAAATACTTCAAAATACCAGTTCCCACCTCTGTGAATTACAGTGGGGCAAAAAAGTATTTAGTCAGCCACCGATTGTGCAAGTTCCCCCACCTAAAATGATGACACAGGTCAGTAATTTGCACCAGAGGTACACTTCAACTGTGAGAGACAGAATGTGAAAAAAAAATCCATGAATCCACATGGTAGGATTTGTAAAGAATTTATTCGTAAATCAGGGTGGAAAATAAGTATTTGGTCAATAACAAAAATACAACTCAATACTTTGTAACATAACCTTTGTTGGCAATAACAGAGGTCAAACGTTTACTATAGGTCTTTACCAGGTTTGCACACACAGTAGCTGGTATTTTGGCCCATTCCTCCATGCAGATCTTCTCGAGAGCAGTGATGTTTTGGGGCTGTCGCCGAGCAACACGGACTTTCAACTCCCGCCACAGATTTTCTATGGGGTTGAGGTCTGGAGACTGGCTAGGCCACTCCAGGACTTTCAAATGCTTCTTACGGAGCCACTCCTTTGTTGCCCGGGCGGTGTGTTTTGGATCATTGTCATGTTGGAAGACCCAGCCTCGTTTCATCTTCAAAGTTCTCACTGATGGAAGGAGGTTTTGGCTCAAAATCTCACGATACATGGCCCCATTCATTCTGTCCTTAACACGGATCAGTCGTCCTGTCCCCTTGGCAGAAAAACAGCCCCATAGCATGATGTTTCCACCCCCATGCTTCACAGTAGGTATGGTGTTCTTGGGATGCAACTCAGTATTCTTCTTCCTCCAAACACGACGAGTTGAGTTTATACCAAAAAGTTCTACTTTGGTTTCATCTGACCACATGACATTCTCCCAATCCTCTGCTGTATCATCCATGTGCTCTCTGGCAAACTTCAGACGGGCCTGGACATGCACTGGCTTCAGCAGCGGAACACGTCTGGCACTGCGGGATTTGATTCCCTGCCGTTGTAGTGTGTTACTGATGGTGACCTTTGTTACTTTGGTCCCAGCTCTCTGCAGGTCATTCACCAGGTCCCCCCGTGTGGTTCTGGGATCTTTGCTCACCGTTCTCATGATCATTTTGACCCCACGGGATGAGATCTTGCGTGGAGCCCCAGATCGAGGGAGATTATCAGTGGTCTTGTATGTCTTCCATTTTCTGATGATTGCTCCCACAGTTGATTTTTTCACACCAAGCTGCTTGCCTATTGTAGATTCACTCTTCCCAGTCTGGTGCAGGTCTACAATACTTTTCCTGGTGTCCTTCGAAAGCTCTTTGGTCTTGGCCATGGCGGAGTTTGGAGTCTGACTGTTTGAGGCTGTGGACAGGTGTCTTTTATACAGATGATGAGTTCAAACAGGTGCCATTCATACAGGTAACGAGTGGGGGACAGAAAAGCTTCTTACAGAAGACGTTACAGGTCTGTGAGAGCCAGAGATTTTCCTTGTTTGAGGTGACCAAATACTTATTTTCCACCCTAATTTACGAATAAATTCTTTACAAATCCTACCATGTGGATTCATGGATTTTTTTTTCACATTCTGTCTCTCACAGTTGAAGTGTACCTCTGGTGCAAATTACTGACCTCTGTCATCATTTTAGGTGGGGGAACTTGCACAATCGGTGGCTGACTAAATACTTTTTTGCCCCACTGTACATCCCAGTGATAGTTGGTGTTTTCTGCAGGTGCTTCATTGGAGCTGTTAGCTACTGTACGTAGGAAATGAGGTTAGTGAGCTGCTCTCATACCAGAACGTTAAAGTTGCAGAACAAACAGGTGAACATGGATCACTACGAGTTCATCACTGAGACCAAGAACTTTCATACCTGAATTCTGAGAAGGTTCTCAGTCATCCAGCTCATTGTAGTCCAATGAGCTGGGAAAGGAAAGCGTTTTTTTAAGTGTCCCTGACCAAGTTTCATCCAAGAAGCTTCTTCAGCACTAAGAGTAATTGGTGGGAGTGTCCCCAAGAGGGTCATGGACCCCCTATTGATCCTCCTCTGCCTCATCACATGAGCCGAGGTGTGAAAACAGGTGTGGGTCACAATCAGGTCAGGTTTTGAGCGAACCCAGGTTTTTAAAGTATGAGCAGTGACATCCTCCTTTATCAAATCCAACAGTGTGGCCTGATAGAGGGAAGGAGGTGACCAAAGGAAGTAGCAGATGAGCAGTAACTGTGTGAACACGTCTGACGTTTTTATCTACATGGTGACGCTTCATTTGCTGTCTTGGAAGCAAAAACAAAACTGCTCTCTGCTCCTGGAAGCTGGGTTTGGTCAGCCAACTGTCAGCAGTTTGAACCAAAGATGTGTTGCATTCAAGTCAGTAATGTTGAAACTGGATTTATTCTGAACACAGGACAAGTACCATCAGATTTGATCCATTATGCAGTCCCACCTAGAAAGCATCTGATTGGTATGAGTTTGCTTTTGCAGCATAATGATCCCAAACACAAAAGTATATCTGAATAGAAAAACACACATTACAGCAGGACCTGGACATTAAGCAGTGTGGGATCAGCTTGACAAAGAACAGAAGATCGCCATTCAAAGAGCTTTGAAGAAATGACAGAAAGCTGCCTCACAGGTTTTAGCCTTGAACAATAAATGTGGTAACATCATTTGAAGGCATGGCGTACATTTTCATTGATCAATTCTAAAATCGACTCTAACCAGAATTTCAGCAGAATTAACTTCAGCTTATTGTGCAGCCCTCCAAAACTGTCCTTTCTCATTTTGCCCCATTAGAAATTGCCCTCGCCTGACGTCGCCCACACTGTAGAGCAGCGGTCCCCAAACTTTTTTGCGCCACGGACCGGTTTATGCCCGACAATATTTCCACGGACCGGCCTTCAAGGTGTCGCGGATAAATACAACAAAATAAAACCAGTACCGACAAAAAGATTTACTCACAACACACGTAAAAGACCCAGGAAAACCGAGTTAACGATAAAAACGATAACAAAATAACACTGAAAACCGATAAAAACCCTGAAAACCAGACATTTCACACCTGAGCCTCAACTCTCGCGGCCCGGTACCAAACGACTCACGGACCGGTGCCGGTCCGAGGCCTGGGGACCGCTGCTGTAGAGGTCACCCCACTAAAACATGATCCACTAGCTAATCGTTAGGAATGACACATTGTATATCCAAACCTTTATATCTTTGCAAGAGAATATGTATGTATACCTGCAACAAGCGCGGTTTGTGAACAGATTTTTTAAATCCAGGGAACTTATAAAATCAAAAAGACGGCAACTCGGCCCAAACTAGCTGAAAAAGTTCAATATGAGTCTTTCTAATGGACATAGTTATTTGGTTTAGCTCATTCATCTTCTACAAGCTTAGCTGGCTATAGTCATTTCACCACAGATGAAACATCTGCAGATAATTGGGCTACACAAAGACCCTGGCACAGAGTCGTCACATGTCACTGTGAGGGTGGTGACCAAAGTCTGAGCTAAAAGGAAGGAGGACGACAGCATCACAGCGCTTCATGTTGTCTTTACTGCATGAACAGCAAACAGGCCAGACTTTTCTGAATGAAATGTAACATGCCACAGAGGTTAGACATGGTCAACATGAATAATAAACCAAACCGGTTTTGTAACAACAGGTTAAATCAGGAACAAACATCTGTAAAACTACAGTGTGCTTACTGAATGTAAAAAAGGAAAAACGTGTCAGAAAATTGGTTCACTATGTAACAAATAACAGTTCTGATCATCAATATTCAAAAGGTTTGTAACAAAGACATGAATGCAGCGATGCCAGTGACCCAGATGATCCTCAGGCTGTGGAAACACGCTCGTTTTATCTCCATGGAGTCCAGGGGTCAGCCAATCAATGTGCAGGACACATCTGCCATCATCTGGGTGAGGAGTGCAGAGGCTCCTGGATCCACCAGCTGTGTTTCCATCATACACACTCTGTTAGTCACTGTGTGCAGTTTCTCAACCCGGGGCTCAACACCCCGGCTGGGACCTGTAGATATGAAGTTTGTGGACAAGATGGATATAATCCAGTTTCCTCATGGATGAGACTGACCAAACAGTGACTCCCCCTCCATGGAGCATCCCAATTATTGGATTGTTGTTATTAGATATACTTTTTTTTTAGAAAAGAAAATGTATCACATGGCTCTTTATCATTTATCAGAATGTTTAAGTCATCAATTACACGTTAAGGCAGAAACCGAAGCCTTCTCTGTTTGAAAGCAAAATGATGGGTGGATAAAACACAGCAGGGTTTAGAAACCTACATTCAATGGCAACTACACACAAATACCACAATGAAGAAGGAAGAAAGAAATGAAACTCCTGTTGAACGAACCCCAAACTTCGGCCTGACTCACTGCTACTTTCTTTGCAGTGGTTGAATCATCAGCTACTTATAGTCTACAGCAGCTCACTGCTCAGGTCAGCATCTGCAGTGAGCTGTGTTCGTGTGCACCGCCCCGTGTCCTGGCGTTGGAGCAGCAAACAGTGCTGCCACACTGCTGCATGGTTCTTAGGGGGTTACTGCAGTTCACACAGATTCAATGCCTCATTTTCAGGTTTCTGCACGAGCAGGAACCAAGCACAGCCGAGAAGCCTGGAACTGCTTCACTGATCCCAAGCCAGCAATTATTTGATGTATTATTTAGTCTATTAGATTAAAATGTAAACTTGCACATGCATGTAGTCAAGTTTAAGAAAAAAGTCCTTTGCATTTAGAGTTTTATGAAGTCAAACTAAAAACAAAGGTGGGCTCGTCAGGTAGGGAGTTACACCTGAACGTGTTTTACACCATCTGTTAAAGGCAACTGCAGAACACGGGTCATACACAGCAGACTGGAGACCAGGTGAGAAACTGGGGGGAAGCGTAGGATCACTGAATCACCGCTACTTTAAATCAACCTGACTACTAAGTGCTGCCAGTCAGGGCCTGTAAGGTGTGTCCAAAGAAAGAAACAGCTGACTGGGAGCTGCACACAGTCACGGTCAGCAGGTAAAAACACTCAAAGAAGAAAACACGACAGAAGCTGATGGAATGTGTGTGACGAAGCTGCTAAATGGTCCACATCAGTAACTAACTAACTGCATTTAAATTATTAAAGATTAAAATAAGTCATTAGTAGCATAAAACATGTTCTGCTCCTGTGTTGGACGTCTCCATCATTAGCCCCCACCAGCCAAACTCCTCCACCAAAGAGTGACCTCAGGTCCTCTTCACACAACTGGGATGGTTTACTGCAGTTTGCTTTGATACTCTGCTAAATTACATATTAGGAATTCAGGGAAAGGGGCGGGGCCTGATTCACAAGTAAACAGAACACTCTGAAGAGGAGCATGAAGACAAAGGTGGAGGAGGAGCTAGCTGACCCACAGTGGACCCACAGATTCCATTAACAAGTCCAGTGTGAGTAATACAAATGGTCCTATTTGTCCTTCTTGGATTCAGACTCCACCCCCTGGGCTTCAACTCCCTGCTGCTCTGGCTCCTCCTCCTCGGGCACTGGGGGGAACTGGGATTGGCTGACCTTGTCTCCTCTGGTCTTGCTGAGCTTCTTGGACTTCTGGTAGAGTTCGTTCAGGTTGAACTCTCGGATGATGTTCTCCTGATGGAAACAAGCATGCAAAGTCTTAAATATAAAGACTCTAAGTGTCAAGTATATGGATCAGGAGGGGAACAGCTGACACTATAACTGGTGTGCAAGTTTCTGGAGCTCACAGCTCTGCCTAAGCTCTGCCTTTCCCCTCAGCCCAACCAGTCAAGCCTGACCCTGGTTAGAATGAAGGGATCTTCCTGTTAAAGGGGAGTTTTTCCTCTCCACTGTGGCCAGGTGCTTACTCACAGAGGACTGTGTTAATATTGGGCTTCTGTCACTTATTGAAGATAATTACAACAACTCAATTTTTAATTTCAGTCTGAAGTTTTTAAAGAAACATGTTTCTTATCCCATGTCAACCCTGCAAAGAAGAAGATACAAAGTTACTTTCTCATGCACAGATGTAAATATTTGTAAAACATAAATGTTCTGATTAACACCGCTTACCTTCAGCATTTCAGATATTTCCTTATTTTCTATAATTGGAGTAAATGTAAATAGGATTCTGTGTAACAATCGCACACTGATGGAACAAACGGTGACCCCAGGGTCAGACGACGCACTGCGAACTTGTTTTCTCTTTTTTAGATTACTTCGCACGTCGTTCGCTCCACTGACCACGTTTTAACGGACAAACAGGAGGCCACAGTGCCATGCGACCAAGTCCAGGTGTTACTGAGAAAAAGAACATCTTTGATATTACAGGTGTTCACCTTTAGCACACCAGCAGCAGCAGTCTCACCTCAGTGAAGCTCCATGACACAGCCCTGCCCTTCTTGTCCACCTGAGGGCGCCGCATAACTTCCTTCCCTCCTTGGAACAGCACCAATGATGGAAGCTGCTTGAGAGTGGAGATGCTGACACCTTGTACCTGCAGAACAGGGAGTGCTCATATGTATGTGGGGAGCCAAACGTCACCGAGAAAACTGATTTAAAAGGGTCTTACTTTTGGAACCTCTCCATAGCGTCCAATGTCCACTTTGCCAAACTTTAGGCCAGCACAGTTATACCTATTCCACAGAACAGAAGGCACTGAAGTTACTCCTGAACGCAGATGAAGACACGCCACGATTTCACCAGAGGACGGTCTCAGCCTTACTTGAGAGAGAGATCAGCGTACACAGAAGCGAAGGACTGGCACTCTGGAGACCAGTTGGCAAAAAACTCGACGATCCACGTCACACGGCCGTCTCTCGCCAGTTCATCCTGCGCACACACGGTAAACACACACTTAAAACAACTGGACGTAAGTGTGTTTCACCAACAACCAAACCTCTACCACCAACTCTTCCACTTGTACTCACATCAATAGTTTTGTCACTGAAGTATTTGATGTACTCGGGTCCCATGTACAGAGGAGGCTTACAGGTCATCAAAAACACTGAAACACACAGAAGATCACAGCATCTCACACTCAGTCTGCTGCTTTTTCAGCTGACTCCAGTGAACTGCTCTCAGCAGGATCTCACATATTAGTGAACTTACTGTGTCTTTGTATGTTAACATATTATTTCCCTTGTCTGAGGGAACGTCAGCCCACTAAGCATCCAATGAAACACACCTTATTTCTTATATCTCCAGTTTTCAGTGTAACTCACTTCCAGCTTCTCGTTTCAGATTTCTATGACTGATCGTAGCACACTAAACATCAACTCATGACAACTCTAAAGGCCTTTGATCCGTTAATTCATCACAATCTTAGAATGGACAACTGGACAAGTAGATGACGTTCAAACTCCGACCCTCTGTCTCGATCCCTTGCTCTGCTGTTTTAACCGTTTGAGCCTGTGACTCTTTCTTCTTGGAGGATGTGGTCGGCCACCTGAGGCCCTCCGGTTCTCCAAATGATCCTGTCCCACCACAGCTTTTCAGGAGATGTTTCCTAGCATAGGCCAGCTGTTCTCACTGTTATATACAGCAGATGTGGTGTAGTCCTGCTCATTTCAAGCATGCATCAGTACAACCCCTGCTTAAGAAACCTGCCCTGGACCACACTGTGTTGGCTAACTTCAGGCCTCTCTCCAAGTTGTCTTTTATGTCTAAAATCTTAGAGAAAATTGTACACTGCCAACTGATGGATTTTAAATGAGAACGGTTTCTTAGTCTTCCAGTCAGGTTTTAAAAACTTTCATAGCACGGAGTCAGCACTCTTAAAGGTTTTTACTGATATCCTCTGGTAATCATGTTGTTCTTGTCCTCCTTGACCTAACCGCTGCCTTTGACACTGTAGACCACAACATTTTGCTGTCTCGCTTCACCATCTTGCAGGCATTCGTGGTACTGCCTTGAAATGACATCTATCTTTGTGACAGAACTTTTAGTGTTAACTTTTTAAGGTTGAGTCCTTCTCTGCCGCTCTTCAGCTTGGGGTCCCACAGGGCTCAATTTTAGGGCCTCTGCTTTTTTCATTATATTTACAGCCCCTGGGAACCATCCTCAGAAGGCACGGATTATCCTTCCACTGCTATGCTGACGACTGTCAGATTTATCTGCCTCTGAAGCAGAACGATGCCTTCTCTATTAAACCACTTATCAAATCTTGGATGTTCCTAAACTTTCTAAGATGTAATTCAAGCAAAGAGAGGTGATTGTGTTTGGTCCCAGTGGACCTTGTGAACCCTCCACTATTGACCCCTGGCAGAGTACTTTAAACCTGTCAAGTCCAGTTTTTATCATTTAAGGTGTTGGCAAAGGTAAGACTATTTATCCAGGCCGCATTTTGAAACAGTAATGCGTGCTTTTACTTCATCTCGTTTGCATTACTGTAATGTGCTGTATTGTGGAGTTAGTCGGCGTCTTCTCTCTCATCTGCAGCTGAACTGGTAAAAGAGAGCACATGACTCCCATCCTCGCCTCACTCCATTGGCTGCCTGTATATCTTAGAGTTCATTTTAAACTCTGTTTTCAAATGGTTAAACGGTCTTGCCCCACCTTACCTCTCTGAGCTTCTGCATCCTTACTCCCCCCAGGTTTCTCAGGTCAGCTGACAAGCTGCTCCTGGAGGTACCCAGGTCCAAGAGGAAGCTCAGAGGGGCGGGGCCTTCTCTGCAGCACATTAGAGAGGCCCCTTCACTGTCCACTTTTAAAACGCGTCTTAAAACCATTTTTACTCCTTGGCTCATGACAAGGAGTAAAATATTTTATTGTTTTAAATGTAATTCTAATTCTCATTTTATATTATTTTACTTTTGCTATTTGTGCTAATTTTATTCATTTAAATATCATTTTAATTATCATCTTATTTTTATATTTTTATCCTTTATATATATTTTTTAACTTACTGAAAATATCATTTCTGGCATGTCAGGTGTACAGCACTTAGTGTTCAGCTGGGGAGTTGTTCTGAAAGTGCTATATAAAGAAATTGCTTGCTTACTGTTGCATATATACATGTTTGCACTCTCTAAGGCCCGTGGCACTTGTACTGTTTTTTTTATCCTACTGCGGTAACAAACTCCTTTGCGGGATGAACAACTGGTCTTTAGCCTTCTCTCTCCTGTAGTTTGTTTGGCCCTGTTCTTCCTGTTAACGTGGAGTTCTCCCCACCAACAGTCTCAGTGATCCTGTGGACCAGACGGTTTCTGTGAGGTGCTACTGTCTAAACAATGAGCTGACAGACCTATGCAGAGCGTCAGGTAGAGCAGCCCCATCCTGATGTCCAGTCTGAAGAACAGGATCACATTGCCACTTTGCTGAACAGGATGATGTTGCCACATGTTGCTCCACAGTTACTGACACAAACAACACAGAGACACTTTCATGTTTTAGTCAATGCTTTAAAACAGATTAGCAGCAGATAATAAACAGCCCTAATCAATGATGAACACTTGGGCTGTTCGATATAACGTATATATCGGATGACGATATAAAGTTTGAGTCTGAGGTTTATTTTTTAGCACCTGGCGGCTCTTTTTACTTCTCATCTGTAAATAATCTACTGTTTCACGTCATTCAGTTTATTTTGAAAAGTCTCAACAGGATCTTGAGCTTTATTGTGAAAGGTTATGTGGAACATAAACAACGGACACACGATGCTGTTACCGTCGTTGTTGCTAACGACAACGCATAAAAACAGGCGCTTGTCCGTCCGTAGTGTGGTTATATTAAATATAAGAAAGAGAGAACTTGAAGAAATTAATAATAACTACAGGACATCAGAACCATGAACAAATATTGCTGTAAACAGTTTATTTTGCGACAGCATGAAACAAATGACAGCGTAAAATGAAACGACAGATGTTTTTATATCGTCATCCGATATATATCGTTACATCGAACAGCCCTAGGCTTTCCCCGCAGCACGCGTGTAATAAATACAAAGAAAATGGCGCCGTTACAACTTATGACTAAAAATGTATCGTTTCATGCATCGATTAAAACACTCGACTCCAGCTACAGGACGCCCAGCTGGAAACACTTCCTGCAAGTCAAGCTGCCCGAGATTCACAGAACTTACAGAAAATGTTAAATGTTTGTGATTTATATCGTTATCGGGCGATGGGATATGAGATTGTGGTCATATCGCACAGCCCTGATGAACGCGGTGATGCAACATCTTTCAAATTCACTACTAAATGTGAAACAGAGCTCTGTAACGGGCTGAATCTTGAGGAATTCACTGAACAGCCAATTTAAAAGCCTCCTGACAGAGAACATCACAGAGCGCTGGATAGCACACAACTCATCCACACTATGAAAAGACATTTACTCACTCGCCCGGCGGTTCTTCATCATCACGATGGCACTGAGGAACATGAGGATCTCCACCTCTCTCTGAGAACACAAACATGGCCTTTGTTACTCTGCCGTCTCTGCTCCACTCGCACAGCCTCTACAGCTCTGACACGATTTGCTAACACAGCTTTTCCCATTTGACTGGTTGTTGTTACACCTTGTTACTCAGCTGATTCAGAAACAAACAAAACTGTGAGATGAGCAGAGAGAACACTAAGATGATTTTCATTTAGCTCTGAACAGATTTTAAAGCCCTGTTCTGATACTTGCACAGGTGCTGTATCTCTTCTGTCAAAACAGCAACTGCAAATAAAGCACCACATCTGCCAAATAAGTCATTTACAGTGATGTACACCAGTCAGACTGTGAGAAACAAAGCATGACACTTGTTTCTAATTCCAATTTGGACACATTGTTCTCATAGATGTGAAACACAGGATTGCATGAGCCAGACCATCAGTACAAACAGTTGTGCCCAAGTACAAGTTACTCAGATATGTCACCACTAGGGCTGGGCTATATCGTACCGTTCACGTAATACCGGTGCATGTTGGGCAACGATAAGAAAATGAAACATGGCGATAGAATATGGGTAAAACGCGCATGCGCAGTGCCTTTGTTTTCATACGCACATGGCGGAAAAGATGGCGGCGACGCAGAATGAGAAAGCGAAAGTGGATCGTTGAATGAAACCATGAACCTGAACTGGTTTGTAAAATGCTGCAGCTTCACTGGTGTGGAACTGGTTTAGCTTTCGTCCGTCAGACACACAACAAAGCACTATTTTTGGTAGCGCATGCTAGCGGCCGTCGTTATACCGTGTTGTTGGAAAATACGGCGCACTTAAAATCAATCCTTTGATTTGTCTGAAACGACAGAGCCCCTTATATCCGTGTGCTTATGTATGAACTCTGGTTGTTTATGACCTCGAAACGATTTATGTGCACGGCGCTCGAAAATCTGTCAAATGTTTCAGTACACTTTGCTAAGCTACGAAGCCGCACGCTTGATGGAGTGTCGAGCATTACGGCTGTCGTAGGCGGAGCCTCGCGGAGTGATACGTGCTGTGCTTCAGCATAATGTACCGTATTGTGTGTGTATAAGCTCTTTTAAGTGTGTGGATGTTATACATGGTTACTGAGGATGTGTCGGCCAGTTTCCACTGGAAATGCTTTTGGTTAAACTGTCAGCGAGGAGTTTGCACTGTTACGTTTTATATAACTTTAAGCAGATAAAAAACAGCTGCTTGTTTAAGTGAAAATACATTGATGGTTTTTGCACTAATAAAGTTGAGGAGTTGTAAAGTATTTTGTCTCGTCTCAATTATATCGTCAGTTATATCGTTATCGCAAATTTTCAAATGTATATCGTGATAAATATTTTTGGTCATATCGCCCTGCTCTAGTCACAGTCTACATCTACAAGAAGACCAATCTGTCTCCCACAAACGAGAGGAAACAGTCCAGAAACCAGCAGGGCTCAAGCCTCATGACCTGGAAACTGCTAGAACACCAGTGTCTGTCTTTGCTGTGGAGGGGCTTCACCCTCTCCACAGAAAGCTCCACTCAATTTTGCAGCTTCCCATTTGGACAAGCCGAAGGCTTCTTGAGAAAGGTCTTGTGCCCGGACATGATGAAGATTGAGCTCTTTGGCTATATTAACAAGACTCATGTTTGGAGGAGTCAAGTTGAGGGAAACCTAAGAACACCGTAGCAACTGTCAGGCATGGCGGCAGTAGCATCACGCTCTAGGGCTGTTGCTGCCAGTGGTACTGGTACCCTGCACAATGTGGATGGAATAATGAAGACAGAGGAGAAGGACTACATGCAAATTCTTCAACTTCACCTCAGATCAGTGGCTAGATGGTTGAAACTTAGAAGCAATATGATGTTCTACCAGGATGAGGAACCCAGGAACATCACAACTGGTTCTGCAGACTAATGTTAAGTTTGACCTCTGACCCCAATTTGTGGACTATGCCTGGGCTAAGAAACAAACCAATTTAAATGAACTCTTCCAGTTTCGTAAAGAAAAGTGGTCAAATATCCAGACTAGATTATGCCAGAAGCTCATTAACCAAGTGTCTGGTTGGGGTGCAACTTTGTAAGACACATATATTCTTTTTTTTTTTTAAAGTCACTAGAGATCTATGCAGTACACCAAAGAACAGCTTAAAGAACCATTAAAAGCCCAACTTCACCACAACATTCATGAGTGTATATAAACTGTAAGAGCTCTAACGGGACATTAAATTCGGTTCCATTTGGCTTTTATTATTATTACAACAACAACCCTCATTCTGTGATACCCCGATTTTGCCTCCCCTCCTGCAACCTTCAGGACCAACACAGTAACACTGACACCCCATGTTCATTCTTGTATTTTAACAGACCTTCATTGATATGCCGTAAGCAATAAAACACATTAATCAACAGCGGAAAACTACAAATGAATCGTTTTCACTTGTGTATCTTAGTCAACAAGTCCAGGAACATCAATGAGTTGCTTTTTGGCCGCTGTTTGGCCTGACAGCTAAAGTCATCTGGCCCTCGTTACCACAGCCTGTGCATTGGTCCAGCATTCACTGACCGGCTAGCTGCTAACACATTCGGGAAAACGACCAGACTTTCTGGCTTTTTCTACGGACCCAGTCGAAGTCGCAGGAGTTGCCGTCTTCTCGCTGTGTGGCCAGACGGTCACAGATGCCGGGCGTCTTGCGGACAGCTAGAAATGCTACAGACATGAAGAGAGATGCTACGTAATATGGCTTCAGCAGCCACTTGTACACCTGCGGTAGATGGTACAGAAAAGCGAATAATGGCGTCAACAAAGCCATCTTGAAGCTAACTGTCGTACAACAACTAACCCGGGAAATAAACCCCGCAAAGACGGAGGTCAGCAGTGCTAAACCGTTAGCTTAGTATAAATGGCTCTGCGCTAGCAGAGCAACGTGAAGGGGTCGGAACCACAGCTTCCGACATAGATGTTAAAAATAAAAGCATTGAATTTTATATTGTGGATCGTTACTTTTGGATTCAACCTTTTTGTATATCTTTGTAGTCATTTAATGGAAAAAAATAACGGTGCGATAGATATTTAAACGCACTGCCGCTGTTTCTAGGCCTAAAATGACTCATGTCGCCTTTTAATTTGAAGCTGGCAGGACTAACGTCCTGTGTAAGTGTAAGCTGGAAGATGCTGCACGTTCAGTTTTATGGAGCACGAGCAAAAATTGTGTTTCACGTTTTGTGCGCGTGCGATTCTTTTGTTTACAGCTGTGAATTATCTAAGTTTTTTGTTTGTTTGTTTTGTGTGAATATCTAAGTTCTGTACTCATTATTACGTCAGTAGATAGCGCTCACAGGCTCAACGCATGCGCAACTCAGAAATAAATGACCTGGGCACGATGATGTGTCTACACATGAAAGAGAAATAAACAAACAACCGATTTGAAATAGCATCTTCAGGCATTTGTTACTAACAGCCTGTTGCAGTTATGTGTTAGGATTTCTTTATTCAATCTATATTTTTTAAAAAGATAGACATTGTTTCTTAAAATATTGAAGGAAACTGGAGAAAAGAGAAGAGAAAGAATTGACAGGCCTCAAAACTTCATCTTCAACAGATAAACTGTATCATGTCCAGGACCTGAAAGACCTCATCAGAAAGATTTGTATGGCACTCCATCACATGTTGACATGAGGTGAAAGTAAATGTTGCACTGAGCTCCTGGTTAAAAGCCATGAATGAGACTCCTCAAGGGAAACATCTAGAAAAACAAGGAAAAGAAACTTTCACAATATGTGAAGTTACAGCCCAATTTCTCCAAATGTATTAGACAAACAGATAAGTCCTAAACTCCTTGATATGCTGATGTTATGTCAGTAATTGATGCAGACATCAAATGTTAAGCCTGTACACACTTTGTCATGGATATAAGAGGACTCGTAAAAAAAGGTGTACTAATAAATAAATCAAAAATGTTAATCAAGTCATCGGATTTATTCCAAATTGGAAAATACTTTTCTGTCCACCATTTGTGTGACTAACAGTCTCACCTCCAGGTGGCTGTTGTTGCAATCTGGTGACATATAGATAAAACTGGATTGTGCTGTACAGATACTAAGGAGTCCTGTCATGGCCCGTGTGCAATCACACAACTCTTACTGCAGAAAAGGCAGTTTGGAAATTTCAGTGACATTACAATTGTTGTGCATTACTGTAAAATCAGTGCTGTGAGAGTGACTTTAAGATCACAGTCTGATTAAAAACACAATCTAACATAAAGGTTATTGCCCCTGGAAATAGCTGTAAGATATTAAGACAGCGAGATCACAGGATGGCCAAAAATGTACTTTGAAATGAGATTCTTGTTTCATTGGAACAATAAAGTACGATGACAAAGAATAAGTGCACCTATAACAACGAGTATCACTGCTGAGGAGTTTAATGTTTTACGTGCAGACTCGGGCTGCTTGTCTCCTCTTGACATTTTCTTATTTAAACGTCGGAAGCTGAAAATTTAGCAGCACAACACTGTTTCCTTTTCCCATCAAACATTTCTTTCAGTCATCTGTTTATCAGTGTGATATGTGACTAATATTTTTTTTGTATAAACCAATAACACAAATACAAGAGTAAATATTTTATCAAAGATACATGATGACTCGTGCAAAACAACATTATAACATAGTCAAAAAAGTTTTATGACACTCTGACACTTTCAAAGCATAAGAACAGAAGTTCTTACACACACACACACACACACACACACACACACACACACACACGCCCTGAAAACGTTGTCATCATGCTAGTCCACCGCCATATTATTAGGATCATATTTTTTGGTGCTATGATCGTGGATTTTTACCGAGTTATACATCATCATATATATCAGACCTTCCCAAAGTGTGGGGCCTGCCTCCCTGGGGGGGCGCAGAGCCATTGCAGGGGGGCGCGGTATGAAAAGGGGGGGAAGAAAAAACAAAACTCTTGGACACTGCTAGCACGGGGCGCCCACACAAACACAAAGCAGGAGATGAAGCGTCGCTGAATATGTTTCCAAACCAACTTCATTCTGAGCCAAAGACTAGAAAATATGGTGAAGCAAATCTGCCCTTTGGCTTCACCTGCACAGGTGCTGAGGTAGGTCTCCCTGCAGGTTCCCCTTCTTCAGGAGCAGCGCTGGGCTGTTTAAACCACGGACAAACAGGATCCCACAGCTCAGTGGCGGCTCCTGAAAAAAATCTCAGGGGGGGCAATTTTTATGATATCGACTAAAATGACCCATTTAATGAGTACATCAAACAACACAATTTTAATTTAAATTTAAAATGAACAACCATATTCTGGCCATTTGTATAGATTTGTAAAAATGAACAACCATATTCTGGCCATTTGTATAGATTTGTAAAAATGAACATGAACAGATTTTTTTTTTTTTTTGAATGAATGAAAAATAACTATTGAAAACAACAACTGTAAACTGATTGGGGAGTGGGCTAAAGAGAGAAAGAGAGAGGATGGAGAAAGAGAGTAAATATGGTTAAGGTTCTTATTGTACAAGAACTTTGCTCGTCTGTCTTTCTGAGTGGCAAATTTCTCGATGACCCTGGTGTTGAAATCAGGAAGTTCTTGTGTGAGTTTTTTCTCTATGGACAGCATAGCCAGAGCGTTGAGCCGATCCTGAGCCATATTGTTTCTCAGGAAAGTTTTTATCCTCTTTAAAGTAGAGAAACACCTCTCCGATTCTGATGTTGTCATTGGTGTGGTGATGAAGATGTTAAGAAGACTTACAGTTTCGGTGAATGTGTCTTGAAGGTTGTTTCCATCAGAACCTGATAGAGCGCCAGCGCATCACTACAACTCTGAAACTCCTCGTTGTCGTAGATCAGGGACAGTTCTGTTTTAAGTCTGGCTTTGTCCAATGAGGGATAGGCTTCCACTGTGGTTTGTAGTGCTGCATCTGGAAAATTTTTGCTGTGTTGTTGGAACAAGTCTCCTTGCAACAGAGTGGCGCTGACAAGGTGCTTGGTGAAAGAAAACCTCTCCTTGGCATGGCTCATAATGGTGTCGCACACCTATCCAATAATATATAATTGGTAAGAGTTAGATTCAGTGGTAAGACTTTGGCACATGTCTCATGTTAATCATTATTCTGAAAAAAAAAATCTGTCCATAACAAAACAAAACAGTCATGACCACTATATCAAATGACATCTGACAGCATCGTCATTAGATTTTATCTGATGATCCGATTTAAATCAGACCAAGCAGCTAGTGCTTACCTCCAGTGCCAAATGGTGTTGCCTGTCTTCCCCCAATGTTCTCCGTCTCTTTGTGGGTGGGTCTTGAACAGGTCCCCTGTACTCCTCATCCACAACCAGATTAGGAAGTGCCTCCCTGATCCAATACATAAGTTTCATTAATGGCTTCTGAAAACTGAATAGGGATATATTAACCAAACACAAACCAAACAAAGGTTGTGTTCTAATTACCGGGAATTACCGGATTTAATTAATAACCGGACCTGGTTTAATGGCTGGGGGAAAACCAGTGCAAGTAAATAAAGGCCCTGGCCATAATTTCAGGAAATAGCCTATGGTATAGGCTACATCAAATCATTACTGGGAATATACTTCATCAAATATACTTAATCAAATATTTTTCATAAAATTACTTCAAAGGCTGATATAAATCAAAATTATCTGAATTCCATTAAACATTTAAGTCACAGAACACAGAATATATGCAGAGAATTTGATAGAATCTATGCATAGATAATTAACATTTATTCTAGGTTACATATTATGCTTTATGCCTACCTGATAGCCTGCATGCGGCTGATGAATGTCTGGGTGATCCCTGCGATGGTGACAGAATCGATGTTTCTCTTCTGTAGGTGGTTATACAGCATGTCTACATGTGGCATTATCTTGTGAAACAAGGCCAGGAAAAAACAGAAAGCTTCGTCTTCCAGCATTCTCACGAAACCACCGGCATCTCTCTTTGTAGGGGCATCAAATCCTTCACTGTTACGGATGGTCTGAAAACACCTCACCAGATCGTCTTTATGTTCATACACTGTATTCACAGCACGACTGTTGAAGTTCCAACGGGTTGCCGATGCACTTGGAAGTCGGTGCGCCACCACCTCGTCAAGCACTGCAGTCCTCTTGCTCGATTTAGTAAAAAAAGAAGCGAATCCTGCTATGTCGGAAAAAAAGTGACTGATTTGAGGGATGTGGGAGGTTGCTTGTTGCATTACCAGGTTTAACTGATGGGCATAACAATGTACGTAGTGAGCGTTAGCATAAATGTCCTGTATCTTACGCTGCACTCCTCCAGTGGTACCCCTCATTACAGCGGCCCCATCGTAGGCCTGGGCGATCAACTTTCTCTCTTGTCCCTGGGGGAGGATGAAGCGCAGCCTCTCCGATAAGGCACTGGCTATTGCATCTGCACAAGCATTGGGTAGCTTGATGAATTCAAAAAAACGCTCTTGAATACGGTTTCGTTGGTCAATGTATCTTAGCACCATGACTAACTGACAGTGTGTAGAAATGTCAGTGGTTTCATCAGCTTGAATGGCTAAAAACTTCGCTGCCTTTACTTCTTCCACGATCCTTTCTCTCAGAACTGCCAACATGCAATCCAGGATCTCGTTCTGGACTGTTTTCGAGGTGCCTTTAAATACAGTAGCATTTTCAAGGTGTTGCCTCAAGTCGTGATCAATTGATGCCATCAAGTCGACTAAACCTCTAAAAATCCCTGGATTGTCTGAGGAATCACTTTCATCATGTCCCCACATTGCTAGCTCAAAGCACCACAAAACTTAATACAATCGATGATTTTAGATAAAATATGACGGTTTTTATCTACCTCTTCGTTGTGCCTTCTTAAAGCAATCCGATGTCCATCATCTAGCTGCGCCGCTATGCTAGT